AGCCCGCCACGGGACGGCTCCCCCCTCGCATAAGCCCAGGAGCCGCTCTGTGCCCTCGGGGTTCCCGGACAGCGGGGGTCCCGGTTCGGTGCGCGGCCTCGGGAGCGRGCGGGCACCGCGGCTCCCGTCCCGGCGCCCTGGAGGCTTTGGGGGGTCAGGTCTGGGATGCGCTGCCCTTTCAGTTCCCGGCTCCTCCCGGGAAGGGGGTGTCCGGGGGGGACTGTAGGGTGACGGGTGTCCTCGGTCTGGGCTCGGCAGCGTCCCCCAGCCCCGCGCGTCCTCCTAACGGCAGGGTCCTGCCTGCCCGGGGTCGGTGCTGCCCCGTCCACCTGGCTGCTGCCGGAGGGGGAGACCCCGTCCCTGCTGCCCTGGGGCTCCGGGAGGTGCGGGGTGGGCGGGGAGCGGCTGCGCCGGTCCGGAGAGCAGCGGGGGGCTGGTGCAGCCCCGCGGCCCCCCGGAGTTACCGGTAGCCGAATACCCGGGTGCCGTGAGGCACTTCCCCGTGATGCCATCCGGGAGGGTCCCGGAGGCCGCGGGGATGGGCACGGTGGACTTTCGGCGGAGAAGCCGTGGGCAGGCAGGATGAATCACGCCTTTCCCTTGCCGCCTCCCCGGCCGGTGCCGTCGCAGCCGGTAATTACCGTGTTTATGGCAGAGCGGTAGTGGGCGGCGGGAGAGGAGGGGCAGGAAGCGTGTGCCCGGGACGGGACGCCCCGGCCCTCGCCCGCAGCTGGGATGAGGGAGGGAAGGGCGTTTTCCGTGGGACGGTGCCTGCCACTCCRACAGCACGTGCGGGGTGCCGCGGCTGCCGGGCCGGGCTGTGCCCCCACTGCGCGGGACTCGGTGTGCCAGCCTGCCCCGGGGATGCCTTGCCGGTATGAACGGGGGTGACAGTCCCACSCCGCCCGGGCTCACTTTGCCCCCAGGGATGCCTTCTGGCAGGTATCAGTGAGGCCTGGGGTCCTGGCTGGCTTCCCTCAGCTTGGCAGGATGTGGGGCTGTTGCCTTGTAGCTCAGACTGCTGTGATGCGGGGGGTAGGGACAGATCCCAACATCTGGATCTGCGTGATCCCTTCCTGTGTCAGGCAACACCTGCCTGTAGAGCCTATGTCTCCATCCCCACTTGCTCTTCTGGGATTGGTCCTGATGCCTTCCTGGTCTATTGCTGGCAGTTGTTGCTGCCGTTTTCTTGCAGTGTGTCCCTTCCTGGGAGAGCAGGGCTGTCACTTGTGCCAGGTGCCGTGGCCGGTTCCTGCCTTTGCTTGCATGGTGCCACCAGCCTATGGGAGCTGCTCWGCAAGTGGTGGAGGATGAAGCAAGGCTTCAGCTGTCCTCACCTGCAGGATGGGGACACTGCCCTGTGCCAGCAGGTCCCAGTACACAAGGACCTGCTGTCAGTGGGGAGGGGGCTCTGCCTGCCCACCTCTGCTACCACAGGGGCCTTGCTAAGCAGCCCACCTGCCTGGCCAACTCCTGCCCTGRCTGGGGCTTGCTGTGACCTCTCGTGGAGGGGTCCTGTGAGGGCTCCCAGCAGCAGGTAACAGCGTTTGTGCCTGGGGTGGCCAGCTTCCTGCAGCAGGAGCTGGGGATACTGTGGCATGCAGCATCCCAACYGTGCCTGGCTCAGGAGGGGACCAGCCAGCACTGCTGGAAGCGATGTTGTGTGCCATCTGGCTGACATCTTCTCCAGGGCCTCTAGGACCTGTCAGCTGGGGCTGTCTGCAGCTCTTGCAGACAGGGAGCAAGCCCCAGGGCAGAGAAGCCTTCAGGTCACATCCTCTTGCCTGGGGGTCCCTCAGCAGGCCACTGTGGGGGGCTGAGCCACAGGCCGGGTGCTGCAGGCACAGGGCAGGGGCAGGCTGCCAGCCAGATCCTGTTGGCTCGAGTCCGGGCACAGCAAGCGGATGGACCTGTCTGGTGGTGCTGCCRTGGAGAGTTGCACAAGGGGCCAGGAATAGAGCAGCAGGAGGTGATTAGAAGGTGCAGGCCCAGCTGGGCGGTAGCAATAAATAGACGAGGCTTAAGCCCCTGCCTACCTGGGCAAGGCTGCTGGGCACTCCTCTCCACACGAGGCAGCCACAGCCTGTCCCTACGCCCTGCCACAGACCACCCTCACAGCTCCAATCCCGCTATCTCCTCTGGGCCAGCCTCTTCCCTTGGTTGCAAGCAGAGCCGGGGGAATGGTGCTGACTGGGAGTGCTGGCCAGGAGTCCTGGCTATGAGGACATGTGCCACAGCCTAGTGGCCACAGAAGTGTGGGGACATGATCCCAGGCATGTCCTTCGGGCTGGCTGTGGACACTTCTCCACTGTCCACCCAGGGCAGGTGTTGCTTTTGACCTTGCTCTGTCCTGTGGTGCTGCAAATCCCTCTGGCCCAGCACCGTGACTGCTGAATCGGCAGCACTGGCTGCAGCCGGCTGCCCTTGCTCCTCCAGGGATGCTGGCAGGATGCTGCCTGCCAGGGATGCTCCGTGCCCAGTCCTGGGGTAGCTGAGCACCTGTGCCCTTGGGGACCCCTGGGGTGGGTGCTTRCTGGGAAGCAGATGCTGTGCTGGCTGCAGTGCTCAGGGGTAGGGTGATGCAGGGATGGTACAATCAAAAAGGTCATCTAGTGCCTTGTGTCACCACACACTTGCTCAGGAACAGCTGCCTGGGGAACCTGGCTGAGGCCAAAGCTGGCAGCGGTGGCTGTCTCCAGTGGCTGGAGTGTGTGGCATCATCTTGCCTGGCAGGTCACTGTGTGGGCACAGGCATCTTCCTGCCCAGTTTGAGCCTCACTTTTCCCTTGTCCTGTCCACAGAGGAGTGGTGCTGGCTGGCCAGCCCAGGGAGAGAGGTGACAGGAAGGAGCTGTTATCATTTATTGTCCCCAGCTCAGCTGGGAGTGACAACAACTCCTTCCTGCCTCATGTGTCTGGCCTGGCCATGGTGCCAATGGGACWGGGCTGTTCCCACAGGGCTGCAGTCCAGTGTAGTGAGGGCTTCGTGGTGCAGGACTGGCATGGAGGTGGCTCGGACTCCTGAGCAATGATGGCTGCTGAACATCTCTGGGGATGTGGTTGAGGGCTGCTTCRTGGACAGCCAGCTCAGTTGAGCCCATTGCTGGGGCAGCTGCAGTCTGACAGCGATGACCTCTGTCCCCTGATGCCTGGGACACTGTGTGCCTGCTGTCTTGCCTGCAGCTGGTCCCTGTCATCCCAGGGTGGGCAGAGGGGACGGTGAAGTCCTGACCCCGCCTTCGCTGCAGCTCAGCCTCTGTAATCCCCTTCTCGTTCCGACTCACCAGCTTATTTCCTGGCTAATTCCCCAAGCTATAAATACTGCTCTGCCTCAAAGGGCCCCRAGGTCCTGTGGCCACCCCACGGGACAGCGGCTGGTCCCCCTAACATGGAAGCAAGAGCCCTTGTCCCCTCTGAGGGAGAAGGGTGTCACTTGGGGCACCAACTGCTRTGGGACCAGTGGGATCTTGGGCAAGGCTAGTTTTAGCCCAGTTGCCCTGGCTTCACTGGGCAGTGATCCTTCAGAYCCTTACGGGGGTGCAGGAGGTCGCCAGGAAGCACCTTTGGGTATGGGGAGCTGGGGGGCTCAGGGCCCAAGGGGAAACCCTGTCCTTTGGCTGAGTATCCCCCGCTCTGCAGGCCGTAATGAGCCTCTGAAGAAGGAGTGTCCCAAGTGGAAGAGCGACTACCCCATGACAGACGGGCAGCTGCGCAGCAAGCGGGACGAGTTTTGGGACACGGCACCCGCCTTTGAAGGCCGCAAGGAGATCTGGGATGCCCTGAAGGCAGCTGCCTATGCTGTAGAAGCCAATGACCACAGCCTGGCCCAGGCCATCCTCGATGGAGCCAGCATCACCCTGCCCCATGGTGAGGGTCAGCACTGGGGGTTTGGGTGAGGTGTTTGCTGAGTGCCCCAGATCTGGGCACATGGGGGTCCTAGGCTGGAGTGGAGAGGGTCTCCCACCTTCCATCCACAGCTSAGCCCAGCCAAGGGGAGCAAGGCCGGCTGGGCCACACTGCTTGGGGTGGCCCTGTCCCTGTTTGGGTGGTCCACAGGATGCTCACCCTTAGCATTTCATCCTGCTGTCCTCAGGGTCCCTGACKGAGTGCTATGATGAGCTGGGCAACAGGTACCAGCTGCCCGTCTACTGCCTTGCACCTCCTGTCAACCTGATCCTGGAGCGGAGCGAGGAGGAGGCGGTGGAACCGGCCGAGCCCCTGCCCAATGCCCGGCGGGAGTTTGCCCTCAAGGTGCGCCTCTCCACCGGCAAGGACCTGCGGCTCAGCGCCAGCATGAGTGACACCATTGGGCAGCTGAAGAAGCAGCTGCAGGCGCAGGAGGGCATTGACCTGGCCTGGCAGCGCTGGTTCTTCTCAGGCAAGCTGCTCACTGACCGCACACGACTGCAGGAGACCAAGATCCAGAAGGATTTTGTTGTGCAAGTGATTGTCAACCAGCCCCTTCCACCCAGGAACTGAGCCACCCCCTACTKGTTGAGGGGAGAGGGCAGGGGGCTGGGGGACAGTGGCACCTCTGGAGATTCCCTGTGCTATGTTCCAGCCCATCCAGAGCTGCTCCTCCTTCTCCCCRAGGCTGCCCTCCACACGGGTGACCCCCAGGAAGGTGTGCGTGGGGCTGTGCCACCACGGTGGCTCCTCTTGGCTGGGGACACGGGCAGGCGCCGTGTTTGCTGCTGGAGGTTTGAGACCAAATGTCTCTGGGGCTTGGGTTCCCCTGCCAGGCTGTGCCGGCGGGGAGAGGCTGTGACCCACTGGGCTCTGGCTTCCCCCTGGCCAGGAGACCCATGGGGTGCTGGGCTGGGTGGAGATGTCTCCCCTCTGTATATAGTCTGTATTTATCAATAAAATCTTCATCCTTCCTCTGGCCTYGGGGACAGGCTGGAGGGARCTGTAACCCAAAGCCATGGGTGGTSTCTGTGCCTGTTCTATATCAGTTCCTGTGTCAGAATSGGCACAGGGTGGCCAAGGGTAGCCTGGGCACCCCAGCTCTGCTCCCTAATACCACACTCACCCTGTCCTGCCAGCCCTGGCTCTTTGCCTGCCTGGACCCTTCCCCAGTGCTGCCAGAATCATCCCATTGTCCTCCCAGCTGCTTCTGAGTCTGGGSTCACCACCTCCCTTTCCTGGTGCATCCTCTCTGGAGTTTTAGTCCTGTGTCTGCCCTTGAGCCAGGTGGGACAGTCTGTGGAGAGGAAGAGTCCCAAGACTACTGTCATGGCCACCATGGCCTGCCCTAGTGAAAATAGTGTTCTTTCTGCTGCCAGATGCTGTGGCACCCAAGGGATAGGGCASCCAGGAATGGCCCTGGGGACTACCCAGGAGGGTAACAGTGACGTGTAGCTGTCTGTCCCTCCCCCAGGTCATGTGCTGGTGGACAGTGCCCAGTGCATTAACTGTCCTGACACAAGGCAGTGTTGGCTTCATCTTACAAGGGGGGAGTTCTCGGGAGGCTTGAACAATGTTCCTGCTGCCGGGAATAGCTGCCAGCTCTGCTTGTTGGCCCCATGTGAGCCCAGTCCTGCTGCCAGGCTGCCATGTGCAGCGGGGGAGGTCAGGCAGCCACGGGGATCCTGGCAGGGCAGCTCGGAACGTTCCACACCTGAGGTCATCCTCTAAAGCTGCACAGAAGGGCCATGACTCCTGGCATCCCATGCTGCCTGCTGCTGGCTGAGAGGCTTGAGAGGACCCACTGCCTCCCTTTGGGGTGGGCAGGCCCACTCCAGACCCCCTTCCTGTCGAAGGTACCAGGGAGCCTCAGGCAATGTTGGTGGCTGCTGCAGCATCTGGTTGCACAGAGATGGGGTGATGGGAGCCATGGGAGCACTTTGCTTGCCCAGGGTGGGTGTACAGGCATAGGTGCCATGCCATGGGATGATTCCAGATCATATCCCTCCTCTGCTGAGCCTCTCTTGGCTGGCTGTCACAGGTTCTACACACCCCAGCTCCCCGTAACAAGCACAGGTGTCCTGCTCAGCCCGGAGGGGGGGCAGTGGGTCTCTTTAAGAGGGTGTGGGGCTAGAGAGGTGAGTCAGGGCACCAGAAAGCRGGAGGGTGAGCTCATGGTAAAGCTGCCCCAGTCATGTGGAGCAGCCACAGCTGTTGGTGCCCTTGTGCTGTGGGACGGAGGGGCCAGCGGCATAAAGCCCCACGGCCAGCGAAGCTGCCAGCAGCACCAGGAGCCAGGACAGAGCACTCCCTGCCCGTGGTGGCAAGAAGAGGACGCATCCTGCACAGGACTGYACATTGCGGACGAACATGGAGCTGGATGTGGAACGGGCCAAGGAGCTCATCGAGCAGAAGCTGGCAGAGGAGGAGGAGGTGGAGGTGGGTCCATAGGGCAGGGGGACCTTCCTGGGCTGTGGCAGGAACCCCCATTGCACTGTGTCCATCCCTAGGGATGGACATGAGGAGGTTGGCGCTGACCTTGCCATCCTGGAGGATGTAGCAGGGTGGCCAAGGGCTCTCAGAGGGATCAGGTTCCYAACCCGGCAGCTCTAGCCCATGGGGCAGAGCTGAGCAGCAGGCAGGTGCCCAGCTTWCCAAGCAGGGTGGGTAGGCAAGCGCAAGCCCGAGGGCTGCCAGGCACACGGTAGACGTCAGCGGCGATGGGAGCCACGCCCAGAGCCCCCTCCCCCGACAGGCTGGGGATAGAGGCAGCGGAGCTGTTCTGTGCCYTGCCAAGAGCGTGCAGCCCCCGCTGTGCCTGTGCAGAAACTCAAAGARGATGGTGCACCGGAGCCGCCGGCCGTGGAGCGGATGAACACACCTGAGCTGGAGGAGGAGAAACGCTGTGGCCYCAGGAACCGGGGCCTTGAAGCCATCAAGGTGAGGGGGTTGGGGTGCGGGGTGGCCGCGGGTGGCTGGGTGCACAGAAGTCAAACGGGGCAGTGTGTGTGCTCACCAGGGCCAGGAGAGGGTGCGGAGGAGTTCAGTGGATCTGAGGCGGGAGATCATCGACGTGGGGAGCATCCAGCGACTCATCGAGCTCCGCAAGCAGCGCCGGCAGCGCCGGGCAGARCGGGCGGCCACCCCCGAGCCCACCCCGCCACCGGAGCCCCTGGAAATTGTACGTCGGGGGTCCCAAGATGTGGGAGGGGGRCTGCTGAGAAAGGGGCTGGACCACGAAAAGGCCAGCCCCCGAGTCACCCTGCCAGCCAGAGACCTCCCTGGGGAAGCAGGACAGGGGGCCCGCATGTTGTCCCCTCTCCTGCACCGCTGTGATGCCCCAGGCCTGAGTCTGTCCCCTTGCCAGGAGGGTCCTGTGGAGCCAGAGACCTTCCTGCGAGCCGCCGTCCAGGGCAAGATGTACATCATTGAGAAGTTTCTGKCAGACGGTGGCTCCCCTGACACATGTGATGAGGTAGCATCCCTGACAGCCACTGACTGCCCCAGCCTGTTCCCTGCCACCGTGTCCTGTAGCCCGCCCCATCGGGTACAAACAGACTGAGCCGGGGAGGATGCATCCATCCATCCATTGTGCCACTTGCCTTCCAGTTCCACCGCACAGCCCTGCACCGCTCCTCGCTGGAGGGACACATGGAAATCCTGCAGAAGCTGCTGGACAGTGGGGCCACTGTTGACTTCAGGGACCGGGTGAGGCTGGGTCCWGCTTCCAGCTGCATGCTGGTCTGAGCATCTGTGTGTGGTGGAGCCAGAACTACAGCTGGACTGGGGACCCTGCAGTGGGGCAGTGCTGTCCCCATCACAGAGGTGGCTGCAGGCAGGTCTCTGCCAGTTCAGCTCCAGCAGACGGACCTGCCGGGGCAGGTGTAGGGGTAGGGTAGGGCTGTCCCCCACCATGACCGTGACCCTGACCCAGCACTGTGTGTCCAGCTGGACTGCACTGCTGTGCACTGGGCCTGCCGCGGCGGACACCTGGATGCTGTCAAGCTGCTGCAGGACCGTGGGGCAGACCTCGATGTGAAGGACAAGGTGAGCAGGGCAGAGCCTGGGGTCACAGGGTTGTGCCAGGGGCAGGGAATACCCTGGAATACCGGAGCTGAGCCTGTGTTGGGTTAGAAGGTGTGGGTGCTGATCGCCCCTGATGTCCATCTCATCCCCCCTCAAGCTGCTCAGCACACCTCTTCATGTGGCTGCCCGAACCGGACACCTTGACATTGTGGAGCATCTCATCCACTGCGGGGTGGATATCAATGCCCCAGACAGGGTGAGTGTTACAGCCATGCAGGCATCACTGATCCCCTCCCCTTTGTTGGGTCCTCCAAGGGCTTCCAGCACTCACAGTGGGGCTCGTCTGGACACACCACACATGTCCAGGGTGGTTGCAGCCACAGCCAGGCCTGAGACAGGCACAGTCCCCCTTGTCCTCRAGGGGAGATGGGAGCTGGGGAGTAGTGCCGGGGACAGACAGTAGGTCCCTGTCCCTGGACCACATCTCCAATGAGGCTGTGTCTCTTGCAGGAAGGCGACACAGCACTGCATGATGCCACACGGCTCAGTCGCTACAAGATCATCAAAACACTGATCTTGCACGGGGCYGACATGATGGCCAAGAATGAGGTGAGCGTGGGGGGCCAGCACTGAGGCCATTTGCTGCCCCATCACATCACACCACCCTGTGCCCAGCCTCTCTCTGCCCTCTATTGCAGGCTGGCAAGACCCCGACAGACCTGGTGCAGCAGTGGCAGGTGGACACACGCCAGGCACTGGAGACCAAGGATCTGCCCCTGGGGGAGATGGAGGTGCCTGCATGATGGCACCAGGCAGAGACCAGGGGCTGGGCTCAGCTCCGAGGAGCAGCATCCAGAGAAGGCTTGTCTGTGTCAATAAAAGTCAGCAAAGAGCAGCATTTGGCTTCAGGTGTYTGTGGGGTTGGGCAGCCTGCACCGAGGTTGATGGGCCTGGGGAAGCTGGGTTATCCTGGGTGCGGGATTATCTGGCAGCGTGATGAGCCCTGCCTCCTATCACTGGGACTCAAGTAGTGGTGACACCAAGTGGCTCAAGGGCAGGACTCYTGCTGCAGGATGCTGATTGCTCACAGTACTTTGAAGTCCCACCTGGGCAAGCTCCGGGAGGAAAAATACATGGAAGGAGCTCAGCCTGAGTTCATGTTGTGCTGGAGGCTGGGGCTGTGCCAGAGAGCAGCAGTCATACCCCTGCTGGGCAGCCATTCCGTGGGGTTGGATGGCTTCTTGTCCTCCTGCCTTTCCTGCTGAAGCCATGTCCAGGAGACACATGGTCCCTGTGCAGGTTGGGGGACATGCTGAGTGCAGTGCACACTGCTCCCTACACAGAAATGCWCACACTCACCTGTTCACAGGAGACACTATACTGACAGCCTGATCAGGTGATCCCTCACCAAAGCCCTGGAACTGCCTGCAATGCCTGGTCCCTCCCTGGCCTTGCAGCCTGGCCTTGTAGGAGGCAGAGGGATGGCTGCCAGGGCAAGCAGAAGGGCAAGCACAGCTGGGGTGGCCAAAGCTCACCTCGTTGGGTGCTGAGCTCCTGCAGCCAGCTCCTGGAGCGAGGAAGAACATCCTGAGCTCATCTGGTACCACCCCCCATGTCATCCACAGGCTGCGGGTCCCTCACGTGCCCCGTCAAACATTAACAGCCCCTGAGCGGGGCAGGCAGCACAGCCAGGGGCAGCACCTAGCCGCCATGGCACTCGGCACCCGCCTCGCCTCCTCCCTCCGGCGCGCCCTGGCAGCTCTGCACTGGGCAGCTCCCGGGCAGCGCCGGGGGCTCAGCACCCCGCGGGGATCAGAACCCTCATTCGATCTCAGGGGCATCTTCCCACCCCTTGCCACCCCCTTCTCACCCACACAGGAGGTGGACTATGCCCAGCTGGAGGGGAACCTGCGCCGCTATGCCAGCATCCCTTTCCGAGGTAAGCGCTGCCCGCTGTCCCTCTCCGTGCAGGCTCCCGTCAGATTCCTGCCTGCCACACAGGCTGACAGGCAGCATGCAGGCAGCCTGCCAGCTTTCCAAGGGTGCTCAGCCTCCAGCCGGACTTTGCTCCGGGGCTGGCAGCCCCTCGGGTCACCCCCGGGGCCCTCTGTGTGGCACGTGTCCCGGCACGCAGTGTGTCCTTGCACATGCCCACCACATGCCAGCATGTGCTTGCACACATGCTCCACACGTGTGCAGGCTTGCATGCATGCTCCACACGTGTGCAGGCTTGAACCTAGGCACTGCACTCCCATGCACACTCCCATACATTCAAGAGATGAGTATCTGTCAATTGCCAAGGATGGATAGATGATAAGAGAGGAGCTGCACAAGAGGCTGCAGCCTCACAGGGAGCTTCCCCAAAATATCCTCTCTTCTGACCAGGAGGCTGGGGCTGCAGGGACATAGGCAGGAGAGGGCACACTGTGGGCTGCAGAGCTTTGCCTGGGTGCCACCAGCAATAAAGGAGTGAGAGTGATGGGCAAACCTGACAGTCCTGGCACCCTTCTCCTGTGCCTGAGCCCTGCCCTTGCCACATTTTTATTCCAGGACTGGTGGTGCTGGGCTCCAATGGAGAGTATCCATACCTKGCACCCCGTGAGAGGGTGGACGTGGTGAGCCACGTGCGCCGGGCTCTGCCCAGAGACCGCTTGCTGATGGCTGGCTCGGGCTGTGAATGTGAGTGCCTGTGTGGGCAGTGTGGGGGGCATGTGTCCCCCCTGGAGCACGCCTCACCCCTCTGCCTCCTCCCCAGCCACCCAGGCCACCATCGAGCTGACGGTCAGCATGGCAGAGGCAGGGGCTGACGTGGCACTGGTCGTGACACCCTGCTACTACCGGGGGGCCATGACCAGTGCTGCCCTGSTCCATCACTACACAGAGGTGAGCCATGTCCAGTGCCTGCCAGCACCCCCAGGAGGGGCAGCAGGGTAGAGAACACATCCAACATATCTCCAACCCACCCCAGCTACTGAGCTCTGCCTGGCTGCCTGCAGGTTGCCGAYGCATCCCCCATCCCTGTGGTGCTCTACAGTGTCCCTGCCAACACCGGCCTGGACCTGCCCATGGAGGCTGTCATCACCTTGGCTCAGCACCCCAACATCATTGGCATCAAGGACAGCGGTGGGGATGTGAGTGAAGCAGGACTTTCCCGGGCTGCTTACTGCCAAACCTGAACCCAAGTTGGGAATGGGGAACTGGGACTTGCAGCACTTCCCTGGACCCCAGGGCTGCTGGAAGGCACCCTGCAGCGAGGGGAACCGGGTGATACCTGCCCCAGGGCATAGCATGTCTCTCCCCAGATCACCCGCATGGGGCTGATGGTGCACAAGACAAGGCAGGAGGATTTCCAGGTGCTGGCAGGATCGGCTGGCTTCCTGCTGGCGAGCTATGCTGTGGGTAGGTGCATCTGCCCGTCCTTGGCAGGGGGCACTGCCTGTGGACACTGGCAGGGGGAGGCAGGTGAGGGACCGGGAGGTGCTGGCTAGGCACAGWGTGCTGAGCTGGCTGTCAGTGTGTCCTGGTGTCTCTAGGTGCCTYTGGGGCTGTCTGTGCCCTCGCCAATGTTCTGGGTGACCCGTTGTGCCAGCTGGATCGCCTGTGCCGACACGGCCAGTGGCAGGAGGCCCGTGACCTGCAGCACCGCCTCATTGAGCCCAACACAGCGGTGAGCAGGCAGAACCCCTGGGATGCTGAGGGTGCCAGGCTGTGACAGAGCCAGGGGGAGGCAAAGGATGGAAGTCCCTAGGGCTGCAAGGGGTGGAAGGGTGGCTCAGGGGGACAGGACAGCACAGCACCTGGCCAGCAAGCCGAGACAGGCTGGAGGTGAGAGGGTGGGAAATTCCAGCCCTGCCATATTAAAGAACAGCACGTCCACTGGCAACGGGCACTGCCTGACCCTCCATGAGAGCCTTGCTGGCTATTTATAGGCAGCAGTGTGTGTGGAGGAAGAGCTGGTTCTTTCTGGGCCCCTCATCCCACTGTGGAGTGCCCTGTCTGGGCTGTGAAGAGCCCACCGTGCCACAGAGCTCCTGTGTAGAGTCCTGTGTGGGTGTGCTCTGCACCCCTACCCCACGGTGGGAACTTCGTGGGCTGCTGCAGCCACCTCACACCCTGCCCAGCCTTGCCATGCCMCAAGGGGACAGGAGTGATGGTGAGCAAAGGAGCAAGGGTGCACAGCAGAGCCCACAGAACATGCTGGCCCATGGGAGCCAGCCCATGCCCTCCCTCCCACAGGTCACCCGCCGGTTTGGGATCCCAGGGCTGAAGAAGGCCATGGAGTGGTTTGGCTACTACGGGGGTCCCTGCCGTGCACCCCTGGCCCCTCTGAGCCCCGTGCAGGTTGAGGARCTGAGGAGCACATTCAGTGCCAACGGCTGGTTGTGAGGTGTTCTCCATCTGCCCCTTCCCACACCAGGAAGGTACAGGATTCAGGGACCCCAGGAGCTGGGGGCATGCTGGGGACACTGGGAGGTGGCCAGAAGGCCACCCATGTTACTCTTTCATGTTGGACAGGGGTAAGCTGGGCAGAGTGGGTGGCAGGAGCAACCCCAGGCCAGCCTGCATCCCTGCSAACCCCCAGGATCCCGGTGTCCTCACCTGGGAAGAGCTGGGTCCTTGTGCCATGAATAAATCTGCCATCCYCTCTCTGTGTCTGCAGTCCTACCTGTGCAAGGTCCCCATGCCGTCCCTGCTCCCAGCACAAAAGACGTGACACAGGTGTTTGGCAACATGGTTTACTGAGCTGAGGCCYGTGCAGGCAGCAGCACAAGGCAGGGGCTGGCAAGGCACGGGACCCGGTGCAGGCAGACACTGGCAGGGAGGGCACGGCCCCTGCAGCCCGGCACTGGGCAGTGAGGGCTGCTGGGACCCTGTGCCACAGCCAGTCAGACTGCACCRGGGGTGAAGGTGAGCATGCAGCAGGGAGATGAAGGATGCATGTGGGGGCAAGAGGGGGAGCTGTGTGCCCCTTRCCTGCCCCTTCGCCATACCTCTATCCCCTCTCGCACTGCCCAGGCTCCTGCTCCAGCCCTGGCACCCCTCGCAGCCCTGCTCACGTCCCTCATTCCAGGCTCCAGCTGACCCTTCTACTTGCTCACCATTGCTATCATCRTCCAGCAGCGTGCAGCAGATGTGCCAGCTGAGCATTCCCCAGTCCCCCTTGGCGGGGATGCTGCTGCTGATGTCCCCAAGGCAGTGGGTGGGTGGATTGGCACAGGGATCAGGGGAACACAGCTCACTGGCTGGCCCTGAGAGCAGGCTGGGTTCTTTGGGGACACAATGTCACCCTACCCTGGGCATGCAGGGGTATGGCCAGTCACCCAGAGCTAAGGGTGAAGGCCACGGGGTGCCTGGGGTGCCCACCATGCCTCTGGACCAGGGCAGCAAAGTGAGCCAGGAGCCGACCCTCTGGGAGCACATGGACCAGTCAGCAGCTTCCAGCCAAGGCACCCTGGCAGTGGGGTCAGGGACCAGCCTCTGCCCCGCTGCTCCATCCTCTGCAGCTGGCTAGCAGCCCTAGTGGTCCACAGTCTTCCTGGGGGACAGAGGGGCCAAGCCCCTGTCACCCTGTCCTTCTGCTGCTCCAGCAGGTGCCAGGGCTACAGCCAGAAAGAGAAGGCACCAYGGCTGCCCCAGGGCACTTGGGTGGAGAGCGGAGGGTGCCATCCCCTCCAGCGGCAGGAGGACGCTTAGAGGGGATGAAGGGCAGGGGGGCACCCAGCAGTGCCACATCCCTTCTCCAGGGCCAGCAGCGCCAGCCAGTGCCCAAGTAGGGAGGTCCCTGCTCTGGTGGGAGGGGCTGCGGGGCACCATCATGCCGTCAGGCTGTGGGCAGACTTGGAGGCGCCCTGGGCCCTCTGGATGATGGCCGTGCACTTCTCCCGCCGCAGCAGCTTG